TGCTGCTCTTCAGCCAGTGACAGGGTGAGTCCCTGAGACTGGGGCTTGGGTTCCTCATGGTGAGCGGCATCAAGGAAGGCTGCAATGTGATGGAGACTGTGATGGGCTGGGAACTCACTGGGGGAAAGGAGGGAGCAGTTGTGAAGTAAAAGATAGGTGGGAGACAGAACTATTCAGAGAAGGGCTGAGCTACAGCTTGAGCAAGATGAAAAATGTCATTTGGGGTCATCCCAGATTGATTTCATTTCAGAAGTTATTGAACAAGTTTATTTTTGGGGGGTGTCATGTTTTCCCTTGGAGGTGGACACTCTGCAGACTTGAGCTGCATTGCCAAAATGCTCAAGTCTCTGCTGCAGGTCACAGCGTTTCTTCTTTGGCTGATCCCGGCCTGGTGCTGTGCCCAGCAGAGCCCTGGCAGAGCCCAGAGCAGCCTCAGCATCCGCAGAGCCCGGCTGCAAGGAGAGAAACCAGAAACCGTCTGTCAGCTGAAGGCTCCTGTCCCCTTGTCCCAGCCACCCGCGGTGCCCAGGCCATGCTGGCCGTGCTCAGAGCTGGGCCCAAAGCTGCCCATCACTGCTGCCTTTGGGAGCAGAGCAGGAGGGCAGGACATGTGCCCAGCCTGCAGCCAGCCACAGCAGATCCAACCCCTCAGCAGCTGCCCAGAGCGGGATGCTCCTGTGCCTGCTGCCATCTCCCAAAAGCTCTTGTCCCACCCATGCCAAGGAGATGAGGACCCACCTCACACCATCTGCTGCCAGAAGAAAAGCTGGTCCCAAACAATGTCCTCAGCCTTCTCCAAGGGCACGGCCCATCCACGCCACAGCTGGTCCCAAGCACTTCCTGATCCTGACTGGATCCCACCTAGAACACTTCCTTTAGAAAAACAAACAAGAAATTAATGAAAATAGATTACAGACAAAAAGGGGAAACAAGAAAAAATGGTAAAAAATCTTATCTCTGTCAGGGGCTTGAGGAAGGCCCAACCCCTACATTCTAGGGAAAACCCACCCATGGGTCAGAGAAGCCCATGCTTTCTCCCTTTCCCCCTGCACTGTCCCCCTGTTGATATATGTTATATATTAGTAAGGGCCTGTCTGCACAAACCAGCCTTTGAAATAAGTCGTGATATTAAAGGCTGAAGTCCTTGAAACCTTCCTGCAGAAAAGAGAGTTAAGCAAAACAATATCCTTGTGTGTAGGAGAAAAAATGTAAACCTGTGTGTGTTAGCCAATAGTAACTTGCTTAGCCTGCGGACCCTGTAGAACCCTATAAAAGGTGTGCTAAAGATAGAAATAAATGGCATTCACATTTACTTCTGTGAAGGGACGTGAATAAGCTGGCGGTCTCTCAATATCCCCCAAAATCACGGTGATCCCAAAGCGAAGCAGGGGAGTGGAGCAGCCCAAGCCCTTCCTTGAGAGCACAGCAACAAAGCAGCCGTGCTCAGGCTCTGGAGTCCCACCTGTGCTCCTGCCATGGGGGTTTGTTTGTGTCGGGCTGGCTGCCCCAGCACCAGCCCAGGGCACGGTGGGTGGTGGGGGCTGTTGGCAGGGCCAGGATCCCACTCCCATTGTAACCACCCCAGCCCATGCCCCCAGCCCTACCAAAATCCAGCTGGGCAGCCACTGAAGAATCAGTTGCATCTGCCCCAGCAAAGGGGAAACCTTTGGTTCCCAGCCAATGCCCAAATCTGGGAGCATCCCCCTGGGTCTGGACTTAGCTGAAAATTTGCTGTGGAGCCTGGCTTTGAAGAAAGTGCCAGCATCAAAGTCCATCATCATCAGCTGCCGCTGGCCAGGTGGAGGAAGAGGTTGTCATCCTTGTTGTTGTCCTCCATGTCTCCAGCAGCAGCCTCAGCCCCACCTGGTACAGCTTCTCCAGGGGCTCCTTCTTCCCTGGGGTGACACCAGGCTGTCAGGGTTCTGCCCAGGGCCCAGCTGTCAGTGAACTAGGACAAGCAAAACCAGCTCAGATGGTGCCCACCAGTGCTGGGCAGAGCAGCTCAGATCCAGCACAAGGGCTGTGTGTTCCCATTCAATGACCCCTGTGCAGTGACACAGGCAGGACAAAAAAGTCTGGGTTACTTTGCTGCTGATTGCCAGGGTATGTGTGGAGCTGTAACTTACCAGGTCCCTGCATCACTGTGCCTGTGGCTCTCTCCCTTCTTCTAGGGCAGATGAATATCCTGCATCCAGGGATCACAGAACAGATGAATATCCTGCATCCAGGGATCACAGAACAGGTCTTCTAATGAGGGCCTGTCCAAGGAGTGCGGGGATGAACAACACTTGATCAGCTCTTGGCAATCTGGGGAGAGAAACCACAAACCACTGGTCAGTTGGAGAAGGCTCCTGTCTGCTTGACCCCACTATTCCCGTGCCCAAGCCACGCTGGATGTGCTCAGAGCTGGGCCTAAACTTTCCCATCAATTCTTTGTTTTGGAGGAGAGCAGGAGAGCAGGACATGTGCCACCTCCTCAGCAGCTGCCTGAGTGGGATGCTCACGAGCTCACTGCTGTCTCCCAACACTGGTGTTCCACCTGTGCCCAGAGATGAGGATTCACCTTGCGAGAGACATTGTGGCAGCGAGAGCTGGCCCCAGCTGATGTTCCTGCCCCTCCTGAAAGGGTGCTCCCCACAGACCATCTTGTGTAGCAGAATGCCCAGGGACCAGATGGTTGCTGCCTCACCATGGTACCACACAAAGTTGGTCCATTATGGGGGGCTGTATGATGGTGTTCCTATGGAATATAGATGGAGCTCATCAAGGGGATGCTGCTGCTCCCAGAGCCTGGCCCCATCACCCCTGAGCATGTGGGGGCTTGTGTACAAACTTGGGGTTGGAAAAGAAGCCACTGGTGCTGGAAGACGACAGCAGAAACCCTGTCAAGGCTCGACCATGACACACAAAAGATAAAGCCACTCAGTGCTGGGGAAAAACTATACCCACATCCTCCCTGCTGGCATTGCCCAAAAAATATTATGAACCAAGGAAAACTAGGGAAGCACAGCAGTCCAAGCCCATTCTCACCTGCACACCAAACCAGCTGGTGAACAGGTTCTGGCTCCCCCTCTCTGCAACCCCCAATCACATGGATTTTGTCAGGGTGGCTGCCCCAGCCCCAGTCCTCACTGGGCAGAGTGGCGGGCAAAGGCTGCCAGCAGGGCTGGAGGATGAGTCCCCACCCAGCCCTGCTCAAAAGCAACTTGGCTGAAGACTCAGTCCTGTGACTGGCAGCAAAAGGGTTTTTTTTTCATGTCCCTGCTGCCACACCCTGGTTGGGCCAGGAGATGTTGGGCCAGGAGATTCTGGGACTGGGAGCCTATCCCTGTGTGGGCTCACCTGCAAATTGAGTGTAGGCTTTGTCCTGCAAGTAGGTGCCACAGCCGAAATCAATCAATTTTGCCTGGCTGGTGTCCAGGTCAACCAGGATGTTCTCTGGTTTGATGTCTCGGTGCAGGACCCCGCAACTGGTGCGGTGCCACACGGCCTCCAGCACCTGACTGAACAGCTCCTGTGCCTCTTCCTCAGACAGGAACCTCCGTGCCCAAATTAAATGCCACAGGTCTTGACACCGTTCCAGACACTCCAGCACCATCACAATGGCGTTGGGGAGCTCAAACCATTCCAGCAGCTGCTCCACACCGGGGAAGCCTGTGGCCACCTTATCCAGCACCACTATCTCCAACAGTGCACTAGTGCTGTCGGGCTGCGGGAGGAGCACGGTGCCGTCAGTGGGGCTGAGGCCGTGCCAGGGCTCGGGGAGCCCTCAGCCAGCCCGGGATGCTCTGTGCCCTCTGCTGGCCCCACGCCTGCTCCCCTTCCAGGTGTCCTG